TCTTTTTACATGTTCCCTTTCAGTCTAGAAGCTTGATTTCTCTCAAGTGTGCTCCTGCCTTGTTGAAAGCTTTCCTCACAAGCAAATTGTCTTAAGCTGTGAAAGGATACAGAGCTTCCTTTGGGAGTGTTATCAATACTTGTCTACCAGTGAGGCCAAATACTGTTTATTTAAGCAAAACTCACAGTGGTTTCACTGATATTTTGGTCATAAGACTTACAGAAACAGACATTATTCAATACATGTTTCTGCTTTTTTCTACTTTTTAAAATTAATTTTTTTCTTATGTCTGTGAAGGTAAGAATAGTCAGTACCAAGAATTCTAATCTGCTGATAATACTGTGAGTTGACTGTGGGTAAAAACATTTCCTGTGGAATATAGCAAATGTGTTTCTGTAGTCTATCATTGTGGTTTTTTTGCTCAGAATTGATGAACAGATGATTGCCTGTCTGAAAAGGGCCATTGTCCAATCTCCATGTGCAGAAAATAAAGGGCTTGTTACTTCCATGTACTACTCATGCCTCTGAGTTTCTGAGGAAGGTCACAAAACTTTGTGCACCACATAAAGTGAAATGAATTTGTATTCCAGATAAAATATGCACCAAATGCGTACTTATTTTGCTGTTGTCAACTTCTGAGACCAAAGCACTTTTATTTTGATAACAGAAAGGTTATAAAAGCAATATCTTGTGAAGACATTGAACATATAGTTATGCTTGGGAGCCATTTGTATAGGGGCTTCTTTCATGATCTCACCTGAATAGAACGTGCTGTCAGGAGCAGATATCTGGACTACAAGACTTCCTGAGCTGCCTGACAACATTTTCTGTGATGTGATTTTACAAAATCTGGACATAAAAACTTCACTTTTTGAAGATAAATTGTGAATGAATCAGAAATCTGCAGATTTGGATAAAAACAAATTATGCTTTCCTCCCCTCTCTCCCATGTATTCTCTTCACAGGATATTGCCGGCGCTTGGCAGAGACTTGAACAAGCTGAGAAAGGCTATGAAGAGTGGCTGCTGAATGAGATACGAAGACTGGAGAGACTTGAACACTTGGCTGAGAAATTTAGGCAGAAGGCTTCCACTCATGAACAGTGGGCATATGGTAAGCAGAGATCGCTTTTAACATTTTGAATGTTTGAATGGTCAAGGTTGAACTGTCAGTGCTGACTATTTGGCAGCTAGAAACTCACTTGTGAGTAGTTAGAACAGTTTTAGAAACCTAAAATAATAACATATAAAATTGCAGGTTTTGTTGACTATAGTCACAATCCTAAGTTGCTAATGAAATTAACTATAAAAATCATACTCTTGAGGTAGTGAGTCAAACTTAATGGGATAATTCAGCATTTGAATAGAGGCCATTACTGCTGACGCATTTCTATGTATCTGTACACCAGCAATCCAACCAGGAATGCAGCAACACCACTGACTAAGTGTGGAATTATTAAGAGAGTTATTCTGAATTGATTGTCTTTTGGTCATCATGTTTTGAATCATCCACATAAACTACATGGTAACAGTACACTCCGTTTACAGTTCTGTTTTTTTTAATGATAACCTAACCTTATGTGGAGTTGTAACAGTTATAGGATCATATGCTGGCATACAGTTTTGCTGAGGATCACGAGACATAGATCTGCTCTGTCATCCTACTGTTTGCGCTGACAACAGTCTTCCTGCTTATGCCATGCTTCTGGCTTTTTCCAACTAGAATCTTTTCACACTGAAAGGAAACCGTAACACAGTTGCTGGAAGCACACAAGGCTGTAAATGGCTGCCAAGCAGATACTAGAATGGAAACTACAGTTCTTATCAGCCCTGAGAGCCTATTTTCTGAGCATAAACTACTCATGATGACATGGTATGGCTGTTATGCAGGGAAAATTTCACATAAGCTGGTATATAGCAAATGAAACAATAGTCCCTTCTGGCTCTCGCATTCACAGAGCTGTGTGATGCCGTGTGCTGAGCTGCAGTTGTAGGGGCTGGCTGTATAGATTTGCTTGTCCAACATGGGAGCTACTGAGGAGTAATATTGCAGTTTCCAATTTCCTTTTTTGCTTCTCTGCCTTTTGTAGATAGGTTGGCATTTTCCACTTAAAATTCGGTGTTTGATACAAAAGGCAGCCACACATCTCAATTATTTTTTTTTTGGTGGTGTTGAAATGAATAATGAATTGAAGGCAGAACATGAGAAAGAGTAACAGATCATTAGTAAGAGTGAAGCTGAGTATAGCAGTGTGATTTCTGGTTTCATAAGTCTACTTTATAAAAGACTTATCGCAACAGTTTAGAGTCCCAGTTTTTGCCAATATACCATTTTTGTGCCAGTTTATCAAGCAATGTAGTGCTTTCTATTTTAGACCTGTATAAACAGCCTGTGCAAAACTCAAGGAATTACTGAGAGATCTTTAAAAAAATCAAGGAATTACTGAGAGATCTTTAAAAATACATATCTCTAATTAACACTGTTGTTCTGACAATTTGCTACTGATTTCAGTGGGGGTGGGGCTTCATCTCTCACATGCGATTTTCCTTGTGCCTCAGTTTAAAAAGTTGACTAAATTCGCAATTGTTCTAACCAATAAATTAGTAAAAAATTACGTATTTTCCTCTTTCAGGCAAAGAGCAGCTTTTACTTCAGAAGGATTATGAATCTGCTTCTCTGACAGAAGTACGCGCCATGTTAAGGAAACATGAAGCTTTTGAGAGCGATTTGGCTGCTCACCAGGACAGGGTGGAACAGATCGCTGCCATTGCCCAGGAGCTGAAGTATGTTCCATTTAAAGGCTTGCAGCTGCTGACATTTAACTTTGCGATAAACTCTTTCCAATGAATTTGATAGTGTCATAGGTACCAACGTAAGAATTCCAGAGATAGCTTCATAAGTATATTATCTGAGCTGGTCACTGAGACCTTTCCCTCATCTCCCCCTTACCCCCAACCAAATATAGATATTCAACCCACCAAAATTATTTGAAAGCAAACACTTTAAAATTGACTTAACAGTAATCTTTTATCATTAGCGCTATTAATGAGTCCATTGTGTGTTGGTGGGAATGCTGGTGGTGTTTATTTCTCAGTTCATGTGGTCTGCCGAGAGGTGTTGGCTATGAGTTGTTTAACTTAGAAAATAATTTCAATTACACAAATTACAGAACAAGCATCTTCACTTCAAAATCAAGTATTTTCCCATAAGTATATTGGTCTTTTCAGAAGGCTTCATGTTTCTAAATTATCTCTAGTGAGTAATGCACTGGCTTCTCTGGAGATATAATTGTCTTTAATATACTTATTTTCACATAAAGTTGCTCATTCCCCTGTGGAAAGCCCAGCTTTGTCAGCACAGCTCTGCCCACACTGACAGGACTGTACCATTACACACTGATGTCCCTATTCTTGTAAAGCCATCTTGGTATGTACAGCAAGCACATTTGATTTTATCTTATGCAGTTAATTGCAGTGGTTTTGTACTGTACATCAGTGGTGTTACTCCTGACCTTAGCAATTTGGCATATACTTAAATTCATTGCTCACCCGCAGTATAAATCTGTAAAGCCAGCAGGAACAAATGTGCAGTAGTGGTCAAAACAGGAGCCAAGATCAAAATTCTCGGATCTCTGCCCTTGGCTTCAGCTCTCCAAGTTTCAGTTTCCCACTTTCTTGAATAGGCAAAACAGTTATTACTCAAAATATGAGTGTTAATAACATGCCCTCTTTTCACTTTGTGAAGGACTGTGACTCATAAACAGCTCCACATAATTAGCAATTTAAAAATCGGAGAGTTGTCTAAAAATGTAGTTCATACCTGATAGCAGCAGCACTTACAGTAATTGTATAATTCAAATGGATTTAGAAGAAGAATCCTATTTTAAAAAATTATTTAAAGGAGGAAAAGGAAAGCACAGTGGGCATAGTAAGTACTGGTTTTTAGTTAGTGTGAAAGAAGTCTGAAAAACACAGAGGATGGAGATTTCACTTGAGTGAGTATATGAGCTTATGAAACACCTTCTGGCATGCCTTGATCTCTGCTGCGGAGTTGTTTGCCCCTCTTTATACTAAAGAAAGTTTCTGAAACACCTAATCATTGTTAATTCAGCTTCAGCTTTACAAGTGATGAGAAACTCTGGGAATGTAGTATACATAGCACAGCATCTGCTTACCAGTGCTTTGAACCCCGTGTCCTTTACCTCCGGTGAGGCCAGCAAACACTGTATCCTGGCTATTTTCGGATTGTCTCTTCTCAGTTGTTTCAGCAATTTGCTGTGTGAAGTTAAACAAGTTATTTGTGGCCTGGATTGCAAAGTTGCTGAAAATCATTGCTTTTAGAGATGTTCTAATTTGACTTCTCTGCTTCTCCATCCAGTGGGGCTATCAGTGGCAGATTTTTCATTGAGACTCAGTAGCTCAGGTTAATGCCTTGGAGAACACTGAATGAAAGGCCATAAATGTCAGGTTTTATTATTAGCTGCAAGCAAAAGGACAGCTTCTATTTAAATATTGATTATTTATGCATAGTTCCTCACACTATGAAATTATGAAAGAAAATGCTACTTACTTCATTCATATTTTTAAAGAAGGTTTGACTAATGTCTGAATGCTAAGAAATGTGCATTGTCACCTTATCCAAAGCCTATTGAAGTCAATATGAGTATTTTTTTCTTGTTTTTTTTTTTCTGGTCACCGGATCAGGCACTTACAGGAATGGTCATAATTTGTGTCTAAATTCCAAGTTAGTCCACCTCCATGTTTTGTTTTAGTCAATCTCTTGGCTGCCTGATGTTGCTATTTCAAAGGAGAACAATTGCTGTGTGACCTTGAACTCCACCAGTTACAGTTTGCTGTCTGTTCTGATATTTTCTGCTGTAGCAGCTCAGTCCACTGTGTGCTTGATGTGGAAGTCGCTAAAAGTTTGTTGATTGTTGCTGTTTAGAGAAAGGATTCGTGCATGTGTGCAAACAGGCGATTCCAGCCAAGATGCTGCTATAAGATTGTCATCTTCCAGCCTGCATAGACTTAGAAAACCTTGGCAACGAGACACAGCAAGGCTTGGATAGGGCTGTATACAGAGCTGGAAAGTTGGGCATTTCTAAAATGGAATTTGCCATTTATGACATAGCAAATACTAAACAGAATTTATGTGAGCTGTAATATAAAGGGCCATATTCATCTACGGTCCTGTGTATTCACGTCAATATTTTCAGTCATGAAGGTAAAATTTTTGGAATGTACTTTCTTGCATATCCATCACTTCTAGTATAGCAACTTATTTTCAGCCAATAAGAGCACTATCTCTAACACTAATTTGGAGAGCCTTTTTGCTCCTGGAAACCTGGGCTCAAATTGTGCTTACATGCATGATTAACACGAGCCTGGTTTGAAGCAGTGTGAAAGCATATTACTCAGCAGGTTATTTTTGTGACACTATCACTGTTCCCAAAGTGAGCTCGTACTCAAGTGCTTGTCTAGATTAGGACAAAATTTGACTAAATTCTTTACAGGTAAGATTGAATTACTTTTCAATCAATAGAAATAAGTTAATGATTTCTAAATTCCAAAGGCTGTAGATTTCAGATAACCAAATAGAAAGAACTGTTCTCTGGGAAGCTCTGTAACATATGTGCAGTAGTACTTGGTGTATGCATGGTAAGAAAAACTTGTTTTTACAGAAATCTAGTCTCTTCACAGCTTCAGTGTTGAAAGAGAGACAAAAATTAATAGGACAAGGAATGTAAACCTGTGTCTGATTTCCAAGTAAATATTCTCCTATGAGTTGTCATTTCTTCTTCTGTTCCTGCTTTGAGAAGAAATACATTCTTTGCACATACACCTATTTGAAGTAAACTACATCAGACCCCGAAAAACAGTGAAGCTACGCTGTTTAATGTCACTTGATGATCTAACTGATGATTTTTGACCCACGAGTGCCCTTTTTAAAAGTCGTTTTGATAGTATTATTCTCCTACCTATTTGTCCACAGCACATATTCCCGGAAGAAATAGCATAGCAGAGATCTTATGGGGAGTGACTGTACCTCCCTGGCAGAGGTGATGGAGGGATGTTGCACATGGCCTTTCAGGGCTTTGAGCAGAGCTGGTACAATCAGTCCCTCACTTCCATGGAAGGACACCTGCCCTTATCCTAATTGACAAAAGGAGATACGTGATCCACTGAAGCAAAAATAAAATTTGCAGTACTGTCGGGGATGTGACCTGGAGTGTCTGGAAAAAAACCCTGTCCATATTCTGATATGTTAGATTTGGCATGTGAAAAGGCACCAGAATACAAATCTCCATATCCCACTTAGTGATCTCACAACTCACACAGGAACATCATCTAATAATCTCAGTATGCTGTAATGAAAAAAAAACAAACAACCAACTTCCAGACACAAACTCATAGGAGCAAAATATATCTCAGCCTGTTTTATCCACAACTCCATGCTTCTGACTTAAAATTTCTTAACAGATAGCTAGTTTCTGTTACATCCCTTGAAGGCTAACAAAAAGGCTTGATCCAAAGGAGGAAGCAAGTTTTTGAGTCAAGGAGCCCTTGTATAGTATGGCTTGCTGGCAGCTCTCTCCTTATGTTTAACATTTCTACTTTCACAGTTTTGGGTTGGTTTTGTTATTTTTAAAAACTGTTAGAGCATTTTATTTTCACTTGTTTTACCTTTGCTCACTTTCAACAGTCAATTTTTTGCAGCACACCTGAAGCCTTTTTCTAAACAGCATGGTTCACATACTTCTCAACTTTATCCTGAACCAGATTGCTCTGAGCTTAGAGGAGGCAGGAACACTGCCTCTGGCCTACAGCGTACCTTGGTGGAGGAAAGCTACATCTGTCTGCATTTTGTTCTCTGTGATCCTCTAACATTTTGGTGGAAATGATCTGTACATTCCTCTTGCCAATAGCCTAGCAAGAATAAGGATGAGAAGAATGTTCAAAAGAAGGGAACAAATGCTATCTGCATTTAAGGCCTTGTTTGAGCCTCAAAGTAAATCTTAGCTTCGTATTACCATGCTGTCACATAATCACAATCTGTGCAATGTTTAGTACTGGGCAAAGTGTCCTCAAGGAGCAGCCAAGAGCTAAATTCAGTGGATGATGATACACCAATAAAAGGGAGCTTCCAAAGTGCCAAACACATGTATTTTATTATGGTCATCATGGCTGCAGCAGAACCAAGGGGATTATCTGCCACTGAGATCAAAAACTCATTTTGAGACAGACTCAGTGCAGAAAGTCAGGGAAGAGCCTTAAAAAATTGCTCCAGTCTTAGACAGAATAGTAAGTTGCTTTCTGTCAGGATAGCAGAAGCCTGTTAAGCAGGTAAAAAAGCAATGCTAACTGCTACATCCTCTGTGGGTGCACTGGTCCATGCTGGTGGCATACGTGAGTCTGGAGATGCCGGTTCTCAGGACCAGCCAGTTTGAGGGTCTAGTTCTGTGAGAAGGTCTTGGAGAGCAAGATGAAAATCATTCTCTGTGCCCAGATCTCTGTGTGTGTGTGAAAGAGAGATTATGCTTTGAATGCAGCCTGAAGTCCATTTCTCAGCTAAATAATTTCAGAGCACATGAGGCTGGAAAGGATCATTGGATTACTTAAAACAAAACATATATGTCAGGCCAGTTAATTGAAAACTGTACCAATCTTCAGAAACTTGATAAAGCCTCAGACTCAAGCATTCTGGTCTTCATATGATCAAATTGCTTATGCCATAGGAACAGCTGAGACAAAGATGAGTAAGACACCTGAACTGTCTTTGATAACTGGATGTCACAGATTGATACTTGATTTTTCTCACAACAGAGGAGGTTGATGCTGTCCCTGTGCTTTGCTTCTTGACATGCTGAATGTCTAGATCACACATGTCTGTACTGCAACACCTGCTTGCCTGGAGGGAAAATACTGCAAAGACAAGGGGAGAATTACTGAGGGCCATTGGAAGAGTGTGGACAATGCATCTGCCCCTGTCTTTCAGAAAGTCACACAGGTTTTTGTTTTCACTCTTTCTTAGTGAACTGGACTACCATGATGCTGCAAGTGTCAATGATAGATGCCAAAAGATATGCGACCAATGGGACAGCCTGGGAACACTTACTCAGAAAAGGAGAGAGGCACTGGAGGTAAATCACGTAACTGATCGGCAGCTCAGCTGAGGAAGGGAGTGGGGAATGAACCATTTGTTTCAGATCTGGAAACCATGCCATTGAGCATCCACTCTGGAATCCAAACAGCAACAAACCCTTTGCTCAGATCTCCATTTCATTTTGGTGTGGTTTCATTTGCAAACAGATTGAATTGCTCAGAGCAGACCTGACAGTGCTCAGCTGCCAAGAACAGCTCGAAAGCAACAACAAATGGCATGCAGTTTATAGCACCGCTCATGGGGACTCTGATGTCCAGCAAGGATACCAAAAGCCATTAGGCACTTACCTTTTCATACTTGTCTGACCGTAATCAGGTGAGGTACAGGATGATGGCCAGCACTGGGTTGATTTTTTGATAATGAGCAAAGCACTGAGCATTCCAAAGCACTGAGATACTTTCCAAAACCATGTTCCTTAATAGAAGAGGAAGTCATACTCATGCATGCCAAGGTGGAAAACATAAGCCCAACTCCTCCTTTTTATACTTATAAGAAATTACTAAAGCAAGATTAGCAGATTTTAATTGATTTGCAGATAGATTACAATAAGAAAAATTCTTTAAATATCAGTAGTGAAAAAGTAATTTCACCTGTTATCCTTTAAAGGCATACACCTCTTTTAATATGGTGGATGTGAGAGTATCTGTACTGCAATTAGTCCCATTGCCCTGAGTGAGAATTGTTAAAGGAGGTGGTGAAATCAGCCAACAATTGCTTTTGAAAATATGAGGCATGACTGTGTGCATGGATGGGTGTGTGTGTGGAGTTTGGTCTTGCCCTAGTAACAAAGGAATGTACCTTTCCCAACCTGTACAGAGGACGGAGAAATTACTCGAAACAATTGATCAGCTTCATCTGGAGTTTGCCAAAAGAGCTGCTCCTTTCAACAACTGGATGGAAGGTGCTATGGAAGACCTACAGGACATGTTTATCGTTCATAGCATAGAGGAAATTCAGGTAAATGGTGGTCTATTTTTTGGCTTGCAGTCATAGGAAAGACGAGAAAGGAAGCTTTTCCTTCTTGGAGAGAAGAACATGTGTAAGAAAAAAAGCATATTCGTTCTTGATGTTTTCTTTGTGATAGGTAGTGTCTCCTCAGTTATAAATAGGGCTCTTCATCGGTATGAAGGCATATTCCAGAGATCATGGAAGAAGCAATGGTCCTGATAAAGCCAATGAGGGCTGTTTCATGAATGTATCCACATGTATTATTTCCTGTATCTACAGATACATGTAGACAGGTTATTTGGAAGGCTGACAGAGGAACTGTGTTATTTACAGCAGATCTTCCAGATGTTGGAAGGAACATTAACATTTTCATGTTTTCCCTCTCTGTTTCTGATTTTAGAGTTTAATCTCTGCACATGATCAATTTAAAGCTACTTTGCCAGAGGCAGATGGTGAAAGACAGGCCATACTGTCAATCCAGAATGAAGTTGAAAAAGTTATTCAGAGTTACAGCATGAGAATAAGTGCAAGCAATCCTTACAGCACTGTTACTGTGGAAGAGATTCGTAGCAAGTGGGAAAAGGTAATGTATGCGAAATACATAAAGGATGTTGTAACATAGTATTCTTGTGTAAGACTACTGAGAATATTCAGAGAACTTTACAATAAATCTGTACATTAGTCTAGACCATCATATGCCAGAATGAACTCTCTACATTATCTTATGCTTTCCCTTATGTTTGCTGGCCTCGTTTCACAATATCCTCTGCACCCATCACTCGGTGTTACCTATGTCTTTTGACTTCTTGGCAGGGCAACAGAAGCATGTGTTGGGGCTAGTGCAGAGCTGGTGGCTGGCCAGCGGATGGGCCAGGGAGTGCCGTCAAAAGAACAGATGATTGTGGTCTTTCAGTATAAGCAGTAGTGTGTCATGTCTCTTCTACTTCAGCTGCTGCTTTTCAGAAATGTTGTAAAAAATTAGCATCTTTGGGAACATTAATGATCTTTCCAGTTAGATTAAAGTTGGCAATTACCTTAAAGAATTACTGAGGAGCGATTAAAGAGAGGTTCCTAGAGCAATCACACAAAGTATATTTCATTAGGAACTGAGACCGATAATATGCTGAAGGTAAATGATTGTGTAGAATGTATGAATTTACCAAATACATAAACTTAGACAGACAAGAACACAGCTTCGATGGGTTATAAAAATCAAGCAATAAGGACTAAATTCAGAATCCCTCAGGGCAATCCAGAAAGGTAAGCCAAAACCCGCATTTATAACGTATTAGAGACCGTCAGATATACGTGATGGACAAACTGGGTCTCATGTTATCCTATTGCAATGGCTGTGCTTGAATAAAACATTTTGCACCAACTATTCTTAGAACAATTACTTAGAGATTGAAAAATCACTTGTGTTTCAAAAGGAAAACAAAGTAACTGCTCTAATAACTGTTCACGTTAAATAATTGTCTTAAACTTGAATCCAGTGAGAGGTGAGAATTTCTTCTCTCTCCGTGTCAGTCTCTCTGGTCAGGCTGCCCAAGACCATGTTAGCAATTTCTTATGTTAGCATGGAATTGGTAAATAAAATAGCGATCGTGTTTCTGGTTTGTCCTTCCATTATCAACCTTCAGACCAGTAAGAAAAATTAGTAACTGTAGACTTATTTGTTCCATTTGTTTTTAAACTATTCAGTTATGCCTACTCACACTTGGTGATTTCCCACTGTACCAGGTGAAGCAGCTGGTGCCACAGAGGGATCAATCCTTGCAGGAAGAGCTAGCCCGCCAGCACGCCAACGAGCGTCTGCGGCGCCAGTTTGCTGCTCAGGCCAATGTCATTGGGCCATGGATCCAGACCAAGATGGAGGTGAGTGTTGGACTCCCATGCAGAAGCTGATGAGTGAAGTGTTTTATAAATTTTTTATCTCTGCTTTATATACAGGACAACAGCAATCTCCATGATAGCTCACCAGCTGTTTGATCCTGAAGTATTTAGCACTTGTTAAGATAGTTTTTAAAACTGCAGGTTGTACAAGTAGTACCTTGGTGGGGAACAGGAGATGTAGCTTTGAAAAATCAGTCATTAAAAAATTACTATTTAACCTTTGCTTTCTGTAAAGGAAAGATACTGGGAGCATGGGGATCTCAATACTAATTCTAGAAATACACGTATCACATTTCTTTGGAAATGTGTTTTCTACAGTAAAATTTATTGTCTCCACTGTATGGAGGTTTTACTATTATTGCTTCTTAGGATGAAATATTGCATATTCATCTGAATGTTTGTCACATTAGCAAATCTGAAGCTTAAATTTTGTGGGGTGGGGGGGTGTCTTTGTTTTTTTTTGACAGGAAATTGCCCGTAGCTCTATTGAAATGACAGGGCCTTTGGAGGACCAGATGAATCAGCTGAAGCAATATGAGCACAATATCATTAACTATAAACACAACATTGACAAACTGGAAGGAGATCATCAGCTTATACAAGAAGCCCTGGTGTTTGACAACAAGCACACCAACTATACCATGGAGGTAGCCATTTACTTCCAAGTCTCTTAAGATGTGTTTTATTTTCATTTATTTTTACTTTTAGTGAAGAAGTATCCATTTCAAAACCAGTTCCATATTTTTCTGAGAGCCATTTTCATTTTTAGTGATCCTTGGTCATAATATACAGTTCGTCATACAGAAAAGGTATCAAATAAATATTTAGAGCTGATTTTTTGCTTACTGTACTTTTTATACTCTTAGCAGAATATATTTGATTCTTTAGTTAATCAATATTTTCCTTTTCATAGCACATCCGTGTTGGATGGGAGCTCCTACTTACCACCATTGCTCGAACTATCAATGAGGTTGAGACTCAGATCCTTACAAGAGATGCCAAGGGTATCACCCAGGAACAAATGAATGACTTCAGAGCATCATTCAATCATTTTGACAGGGTACAGTACTCCTGCTTTTTCTCATCTAGCAATATTTATTGTTCCCAAAAGCAAGTTTCTTTCCATTACCAATGTAAGTCTTCTGAAAAACCTGCAAATGCAGTAGCAATGGCCTTTTTTTTTTAAACAGCAAAAGAGATCAGTTAACAAAGAATTTTCAGACTTATGAATTTATAGCATTGTACAGATACATTAAAGATTAATTGCTAATCTTTAACTGTAATGCAAAATTACAGTTCTGCTAAGATGATTGAGTTCAAATAACAGGCAGAACTGGATAAAACTGTATGTTTTGGAAAATAACACTTCCCTTTATTTTAAGGCAGTGCAGCATGTTCTATGTACTTGCCAGTCTTCCATCTCATTGAGTTTAGCTGTAATCTGGATTACGGGCTTGTATTTTTTTTCTTTGAATCACAGCTTGTCCACTGGAAATAGATTTTTAGAGAATATAGTTGGGGCACTGATAGCTGTCAAGGAAAACTCTTTATTTTTCTGGCTCCATGTGAATAAGAAGCTGTTTTTTCAGTAATCTAATCATGGATGAATAAAAAAGTAGGAATGAAAACACTGTTGTGAAGAAAGTTAACTCACTGCTGTGAGTTACACACTATTCATGGATAGAGGGTTAAAAAGAGAGCTATGAATAGACGCAGTAGCAAATACATGCAGACAGGGATCTGACATTCCCAGCTGGAGAACCATCTGTACATGAGCTAACTCTGCTGGCTCTGTGCTCACATGAACCCACCTTCACAACCAAGTTCACATTTCAGATACTGAAAAAGGTTAACATAATGCAGCACCAGGCTGTTGTCTTTTTCCCAGTATAGATTTGTGTAGTTAGCAGACTGCACTTAACCCCTTACTTACACTGTGTTATCACATGAGTCAGCTCCTTCAAATAATTTCAGGCTATAGCAAAGCACCACTTTCTTTTCACTGACATCCTGTTTGTCCAGCCCTACCCAAAATGGTTACCCATACCTGGACTTATACTTGATGTGTATTGGATGCTGACAGTGATCGTTTGGTAAATATCCTTTAGAATTCCCTTCACTGTTTAGGAAGAAAAACAGAATTGCCAAACCTCTATGTTTTGAAAAAGCACACAAGCATAGGAAAGGTTAGCTACACAGGATCCAGGAATAGATTTTATGGAAAATCTTAATGTGATTCTAGTGCAGTGCTCTGTATTTTCTAAGGAAGCAGAAGATAACATCACAGAAACAGAGATAAATATCCTGGGATGGAAAGAAGTAGCATACTAAATGGCTTTCCCAATGCACTGGAGCAGATAATTGAGCAATTAAAGCTATTAAAAGCAGACAGAGTACCAGGCCTGGGTAAATCGCACACCAGTATTTGAGAGACTCCATTAAGGGAAACTGGGGACTTTGCACAAAGGTTTGAGAGCTCCCTCAAGATAAAGCAGCGGTGTGACTGAATCCTATAGCATGTCTTACATGAGATGGCCATTTCTAGCATCCCTGTATCTTTGTATTCATAGATCAGTTCTCTGCCACGCTTGCAGCAAGGCTGGTGCAGTGGCTGTTTTTACAGGCATCTCCTGGTGCCTCAGCAGGTTCTGAAGAGAGAAGCGAACTCCTACAGCTCTTATGGATCTTTAGGCTTTGCAGATATAGAAAGACATGGAGATGCCAAAGGGTGCAATGGAGCAAGGCCTCAGGAAAGGCTGCACGGCCTGGAGGAAGGTGCTCATGTCACATTGCAGCAGGCAGGTTGGAGATGGTGCTTCCCAGCTCCTAGATCCTCACGTATCCCTGGCTGTCTCCTTTCTTCAGCCTGTAAGCAGTGTCAGCTCCAGGCAGTGTACCTTCTGCCCTTGCTTCTGCTGCAGGGAGCCCGAGTGGCAGCTCAGGAGCAGAAGGAGGTAGATGCTTCATCGATTGCTATGGCCTCCACAGCCTGGGTCTGGACTGCAAGTGGAGCTGCAGACCTTCCCTTCCCCCTTGACAGATACAACTCAAAGGCCTGAAAAAGGAGGCCTGGAAGGCCCATGTTAAGGGAAGGACAGTTTTGCATATGCTCCCTGCTTCCCTTAGCAGCAGACATGGGTAACTGGCCAAGTAGTACTTTTCCACTAACAGCCCAGCAATTACGTTCTTAGCAGCATAATGCAAGTTAAAGACAGGAAGAAGGTAAGATCTAAGACCACTCAGCTGTCAAGTCAGGCTTTCTGCAGGGGACAGATAGTAGAAACACTGATAAAAGAGATGATTATACTGATTAAATTATCCAGCAATTTAATGGGCAGATGTGACTCAATCTACACAGGCTAGAAGGAGACACTGAACAACACTGAACATGTTTGAGGCAGGCTTGGTTTTCATCTCTGTACCCTTCCCTGTGTCCTTGCATCCTCGAATATTTAGTGTTGGTGAATAAAGGAAACTCAGGGTGCTTCAGAGTTATTTCAGGGTGCACAAAATAATGAAGACTCTAAGCTTGGAATTTAGATAGAGAGGGCAGTAATGGATTATTTTATGGTCTTGATCACCTTAAATAGAAATGAAGATGAAACTGGACCATCTAAACATAGGCACTAACATGAAAAATACTGGCTTCTCCATATTATTAGCAGTGTATGTAGTAGTTTTGTTGCACTTAGTAGTGTTTCTGAATGCCTGACATAGTTTTAAAAATACACTCAAAGAATTAGACTGCTCTTCTCATTGATGAATAGCCAGAAAAGATCCCCAAAATTAATACTGTCCCTGATGAGTAGACTTTAAATACCTACCCACAATAGAATAATTTATGCATGCTATAGCTTTGACTTCCGTGGCATTTCTCCAATTGAAGACAAATCTTAATGTTTGACTTTTAGTGTGTGTTAACAATGTCAGCAAAGTACTAATACACAGAGTAGCTCTGTTCTCCATTGTAAATAATGTATTTTGGTACATATAAACTAAACAGCTTTACACAGAGTGCTTCTAGAAACAACTTACTTTGGTTATAAATCTGAGGAAGGAATCCCTATCTCCCTCCCCAGGAAGAATATATGAAAAATTAAAAATATAGTTCATAATCCATTATGTGGCTTAATTCTGCAGCTGTTAAACCTTTGAAAGAGAGCTAAATAATTAAGTGCATTGTTTTAAATGGCTTCTACATCTTGAATTTTTGAAAGAAAACTATTTGGTAATTTACAAGGTTTTTCTGGGGGCCACCTACCCCTGATTCTCAGACTGCACTGTGTAAGTGGGCAGCACGCATGCATGCATGGCTAGACTTCGCGAACGAAGATAAGGGAAAGACACTACCCATGCTTGCTGCAAGCGCGCTGATGGCTAAAAAGGCCGATGCGGGATAGGCAAGTCCGGTTGCAAAGGGCATAGCGGAAAGTCTCCTTAGGCGGTATTGGCAAGGCGCGGTTCTTGCTGCGTTGTCTTTTCTCCTCGAGACTGATTCTATGTGCGTTCTCAAAGGAGACAGCAGAGTCATGAATGGTGTGTCTTCATGTCTCCCGATTGGAGGCCAGGGTGGACCACTGATGGTAGTCAGTATGGCCAAAACTGAGGTATTGTTTCAGGGAGTCCTTGTATCTCCTCTTTGGGGCTCCTCTGTTGCGGCAGCTGGTGGCGAGTTCTGTGGGCAGCACACATCTAAGAATTACAGGGGCAGGAAGAGTTGTGTGGCTTTCAGTGCACCCACCAGCAGAGATGTGCTAGCACAGAAAGTGGTACCAGTCCTCCCGGTTTAAGGCGAGTGGTAACTCGGCTCTCATCTCCCCTGGGGCACAGGGTGGCCCTCTGGGCTCTCCTGTTCCTACCAGGCACCTACGCACCCGGGTGCCCCAGAGCTTATTCCTGAAGATGCTGCTGCTCACCCACTACTCTGTGCCGGAGGCGGTGCCTGAAGGCAGTCTAGTTGTCGGTATAAATATAAATCTTTAGTGAGACTGATGTATTTCCTTCCCTGTGGGACTGCACAGAGAAAAATGAGAAAGTGGGACATGGTATCTGAAGCACAGAAGCAGTTTAGAATTGTTCAAGATGGCGCATAGCTGGATTATGGGATGCAGACAAATTAGGACACCAGCACAGATATGCTGTCAGTCACTGGTTCTGAAGTCTTTTAAGTTTAGTGAATTCTAAATAAGATTGCAAAGTGTGTGGTAAAATATCTCCAGCTGCTCTGTATGTAATATCCTAATGGCTGTTAACATATTCTAATATTGATTTTTGTGCAAACCTCAGATTTTAAGTAGAACTCTGCATGCAGAACAATTGCATCATGCCACCCTCTATTTTTCTGACAGAATAAACAACAGCTCCCTCTTAATGGAACCACATGATCGGGCTCATGCAGGCCAATTAGCACGCAGGAAACCAAAGGACATATTTAAGAACGTATTACTTGGACTCAGAAGCTCATTTGATTTATAAGGCCACATATAAATCACAAAGGGGAAGAAAAAGATTTCTGGAGACAAATAATGAATCACAAAGGGAGATTTTGGTGTTTTGCTTTGTATTTGCAGGAAAAGATGAGCAAGGCAAAGTTATTTATATGCTTTAAAAAAATAATGTCAGTGCCTAATGTTGGTCTGCAAACAATATAAATAAGGACAAAGAACCATTTCCCAATGAGCAGGCCCTTGCATGGAGTTGATCTTTGCATTAATTGAGAAATACCATTGTATCCCATGAAACTCTGATATACTGCAAAGGCAAAGATGCCTTTTTAGGCCATATGTGATGCAGATTAAAAAAAATCACTATTAGAATGCGAGAACCTGCTAGAGCACAGGATACAACTGCTTGGACCCCACTTATGTAAGTCCCACTTAACCAGATATTGAGAGGATGGAGCAGTTCAACAGCACCAGGTAGAGGAGGAGAAGGGACAGGATTTGGCTCTTCACTCCCATTTTTATAACCTTTTGTTTGCAGTCACACAGTGATATCCTTGGCATTAGAAATAGGTAAAATGAGCTGACTTTGCTCCTGGTGTGACCCGCCACACCCTGTCTTCAGGATGGTTCTGGACACTTTCAAGCTAGCCTAGATGAATGTTTTCATTTTTATTGCTTTATAGCAGAAATTATTCTATAAAATAGAAATGCTAAAGGAAAAAAACTTCACTGTAACGATGGCTTTTAGCTAATTGCTGTTCCCGATTTGCAGCTTTGCTTTATCTCCTCATTGATTCCCACTGTTATTTTTCATCTTCCTTTTATGGAGCTGGTGGAGGTTGATGCAGAGGGTGCCAATATAATAACACCACAGTATGTCAAAACTGCATGGCATTATGAGCTTAATAAAGCACAACTTTATCCTGTTAGTATATTAAATAAACCCAGTGCGTTTGTTAGAACTCCTATAATTTTAGTTATGCATAACTATGTAGAAATTTTTAAAAATAAATTATCATCTACCAGGCAGATATATAGCAGATGGAAAACCTTGGATCTTCTCCAAACTGTCAGTTTGTAAAATCAATATAGGAATAATTTTTCATCTTAGAATATTTCTTTAATCATATAGATGTTAATTCAACCTGAAGTGCGTCTCTGATAGGACACATTTTGTACAAACAGGAAGAAAAGAATGAGCCAGTCTGTTTTAAGAAGTCAGAGTCAATTTTTTGACTTGCAAAATGGAAAAAAAATATTGGTTCAAAACAATGATTCAGTTTGATGTGATGTTACTGAGACATTTACCATAGAACTCAATGGGGCTTTTTTAAAGTCAGTTTTCAAAGCAAAACCTTAATGTATAGATTATTAAATAAGACATAGAACTGAAAATAAGTTAAGTCAGACACAAATTTATTTTGGATCTAGACAACAAATTAATTGTTTTGTACTTATACTCTCTTTTGAGATACACACACTCAGTTATTAAGTAATATTATCAGATCAAGAGTGAAGTAACAGTAACTGAGTGGGTAAAAAATGTTTTGCCCAGGTTTAGTGATCTTTTTACTGCATCTCACACACACTGTATGAAAACAGAAAATGAAGGAAGTGCGTGGCAGTTCAATAGTATAAAATCTGCCTTATCAGCAAAAATGTTAAAAAGCTTCCATAGAGGAAGCACAGTTCTAACTCTGTCGTTGAAGTAAGGACCTTCTTCCACTAAGGAAAAAATTAAAGCATGAAGCTGCAAAAGCTGAACGCTTTTTAGGTAATTTGTTGCAATATGTTGACATTACGCTTCATTAAGTTCTGTAAAAACGTCGTTATTAATACAAGAGTAGAATGTTCTTTACTAACCAACTAACCTGATCTGTGATTTCCCTTTCTTTCCTTTTGCCTTCCCAAATGCATGACCTGTGGTTGTGCTAGGATGAATCTGACAACCTGCATTCTGACGAATTTAAAGCCTGCCTCATCAGTCTAGGCCAGGTTGGAAATGATCTGCAGGTAGAGGACACTGCTATTGTTCTGTTTGCAGATAGGCCAGTAGAACCATAGCCAAAGAGACCGTGGGTTTAAACTCCAATGTCTTGGTCATAAAGCTTTGAAAAGACCCTGCTTCTGGGCAGACAGCTGGATTAGATGGAATGGCAGTATCACTTGCAGCCATATTTTTCTATGCATTTTTCAAAGATTTTTCAGGTTGTTTCTTTTGAGGTGTTTTATTTGGACTCTACTAGATAACTATGGGGAACTCCTATGCTTCTTGCACTCAGACTTTTGCTAATTTTCCTTTCCTCAGACTCATCACAAGCTCTCTACTGCTCTCTCCTGATTTAGGATGACACAGTTCTCTCCAAACCACTACATTATATCACACCACAGAGGAAATGTTTATTTACCCTCTTAACATTGTGCCATTTAACTAGGAATGCCACAGACACGTTACTGCCTGGAAAATGAGCACCCTCCTTTTATACAAGGTCTTCAACTGACCTCCTTCTATGTCTTGCAAGCCTGACCCTTTAAGCCAGCATGTGCGTGCCTGCTGTGGCCCCGGTCCTGACTGCCTGCAGTCAGAAGGAAAATCCCTGTCCTGATTTTCCCTATGTCAGCAGACAGCTCCCATGCTGTACCTCCCTTAGCCTTGGAGTGCAGTGTTTGAAACAGTCAGTGATACATTGTTTTTAACCTGTTTTAAATTATGCTTTGAGTCTCTACAGCATCCCATGCAGATCCTTTCAAAGACATTTCACATCTGGGAGGCAGCTTGAGCCTCTCCTGAGTCTGACCAGTTTAGTAACAAACTTTTCTCCTTGTCCTTCTCTTTGTCTTCTCTGGTTGTGTTCTCTGTATTCTTGGCCCTGCCACGTCCTCTTCTCTCTCCCTTGACCTTTCCTGACGTTACTTCTCGTGGTGACAATGTCTGTTTTCTGTGTGTAATGTTTGTTAGTTGCTTCTTCCTCCTTTAAAACTGATGATGATTCTGGTGACCTGCTTGGGCCATATCAATGAACACTATTCATACACTGGATCCTATATGCCAATGCTTTAAACTCGTCATCTCTCTGGAAATTACCCTGGACTCGTCAAACCTTCCCTTCTATATTCCTTATGTTGTTTTGGTCAATAGAGGAAGAATGGACTGATGGACCACGATGATTTCAGAGCTTGTTTAATTTCAATGGGTTACGATTTGGTATGAATTTTAAGAAACAATGGCAACTGATTCTGCTTACAGCTTATAACATTAACTACAGCAACACTAAAGCTTTTTTAAATTGACAGAATACTAATAATATAATTTGCACTAGAGATACTAGTTTCTTGTTTCTTTGCTTTTTCTCTATTTTCAAATGGTTAAAAAGGAAGTTAGAAGTAAAACTAGACACTTTAAAACCATATTCTATGGTCCACTGCATTGCTCTTCGAATTAAGGAAACTTTAATTTGAAATTAACAGTCATTAAATTATTTTTTTTTCTTTCTCCTTTTTATCTGCATGAGGAAGAATGAGTTTGCTGCTGTTTAATTCTCATAAACTAGCTTTGGGGGTTGTGTTTGCTTTCCTTCACTTATTTATTCTAAAGATTTCCCTGTAAATTTACCCTTTAAGGATTAGCCTTAGTTGAACTGTCCGATATTTGGCACAAAATTTTAATAATTGTTTCACTTTCTTCTTAGCTCAGTGGGTCTGCAAGCACAGAGTCCTTTTTCCAAAAGAGGGGTGGGCATTTAAGATCCCAGATTTCATTGACTCTGACATTTATGTTCCTATGTCAGGATGATGCCCTAAAGGCTTTGTAACCACTGGTCCCCACTGGGTCACACAGACACGGGCTGTTGGTGATCGATATTACGGTGACCATTTTTTTTGTTTTGGATTCTGTGAAAGGGTGAAGCTGAGTTTGCCCGCATCATGTCTCTGGTTGACCCCAACGGCCAAGGAACCGTCACTTTCCAGTCCTTCATTGACTTCATGACCAGAGAAACGGCAGACACAGACACAGCAGAGCAAGTGATAGCTTCCTTCAGAATCCTGGCTTCAGATAAGGTCAGTCATGGTGCTGCTGGCTGTAAGGATTCAGTAGCTCTCTTTGCTGAAAGTCTTATTACAAGCCTTTTAGTAATGGTGAAGCTTTGTTTTCTGTTTGTAAGACTTCAGAGAAAACCCTGGCCTTTTCTTCTTGCTTGGAATCAAGACTCTTAGCTGAAATGGGTGCAGAATTCAAGGCTTGGTCTGTATGCTCTCATATCACAAAGAGCCAACGTAAAATTAGACATCTTAGACAAGGCTTAGACAGTTTTTCTGTATAATGGATATATTTACATCAAGTTATTTCCACACAACAACCTTGATTAGAGGGGAACTCATTCTGCCTTTCATGGTGTTGTCTGGGTGTTTCGATGCAGAGTTTGCCCTCTGGAACACAGCTTGAGTCAGTTGCACCAGACTACCCCTAATTGTGAGCCAGGCTGGGACCTGACAGCTCTTTCAACAGGCAATGCAATGCAGTGTGTCCCTGTCCTAGCAGGAGCAGGAGGAGGAGGAGGAGGCCTCCTCTCATTGCTGGGTAGGTGAAGGAAGCTCCTGAATCCGGCCTGCTCTCCTCCCCATGGCCAGATCCACTGGCAAGTGCATGGTGTATGAAGATGAAAGGGAGGACAATGGCAACACAAGGGCTTCTGGAGGAGTCAGGGCCATAAATAGCATGGCCAGGAAACCAGTCTTGTGCTGTGGGGAAAGGAGAGCTCATGGCAGGACGGGCCTGTTTGCCCAAGCTCACTCTATTGATTTTCTCATTCTGGCTGTCTGTATTGATTTTGTGATCTCAGTTACTGTGGACCACATTTTGAATTCCAGACATGTTCTCCATAGGAATTAATGTGGAAGATGAAAGCCAAGGTCTCAGGAAAAAATGGTTTTTATTATGTTGCTACTTTAAATAATGTCAAATCTGTTAGCATAGGGTATCCTTCATATCATAAATGCAAACTATTAAGAACCATAATGCATCTTTCATTACAAGTATATTAGGATGCTGAAACTACAAGGACCTATCTGAAAATGTGTCTGTCCTGTCACTGCAGGAGAGGCAGCAGTGCACTCCAGAGGCGCCGAGTAGGTAGCCATGGAGGAGCTGTAGCAGTACTTGGTAGCTAACGCATACAGCCACACATCCTGAGACTGGATTTTGACCTCATCAGTTTGTTGGTAGGATTCTCCCCTTCAACTCATCATTAGGGATGGAATTTGCGAAGGAAAATATTTTTTCTCAGGAAAATAGGCAGGATGTCTGAATTTATTAGTCACAGCTACAGAAAATAAATCTCTTTTGTGTCTTTGAGGAATACACACTGAATTTGTCAATTCTTTCCCTCCCTCCCAGCCTTATATCCTGGCAGACGAGTTACGTCGGGAGCTGCCTCCTGAGCAGGCTCAGTACTGCATCAAGAGAATGCCTCCATACACCGGCCCGGGATCTGTGCCGGGGGCTCTGGATTACACCTCATTTTCATCAGCACTGTATGGAGAGAGTGACCTCTGATTCCGTAATTGGCCATTTTCATGGTAGACACTATAAATACCCACCTTATTGCCCAGATTGCTTCTCTAAAGCTTTGACAAGCTGATTTAAAAATGAGTTTTACAAATACAGTAGGTACCATCAGTGTAAAGTGCTAGTAACTAAAGTAACTAGTGTATATTAAAGTGTGCAGCACGCTACATTTCTGCATCATCGGGTTTAGGTTGTCTGTCCTATACAATGCTAGAAAATATTTTTTGAAAAATCACAAGATATTAACTTTGGAAATATCCATTCAGAAGATAGTATGTAAAACCTAAGAACATTGAAACTCACAAAATATTTCTCCATTTTCAAAATGTTTCAATGCCATATGTGCTTCTTTTACAATGTTCATAAACCCATGTTAGAAGTCATGCTTTTTCTTTTGTAGAGCAGTATTATTTTCCTTTAATGATTTCTGATTTTGTATGCTTCTACTGGTGGAATTTAATAAAATATTATAATGCAGTTTTTCAGGGAAGAATTATATCAACAAAGTAAACTGCTTAATTATGAAAATAATCCAAAATGCTAAGCTTTTGTCTCTTAAAGATGGTTTTATCTTATCACAAAGCGTTGTAATATAGGGAGGAAAGCTGAAAAGCTGATTAAATTGCAGGTTTAGAGTTCTGTAAGAGTAGAGTACTTTTCTTTTAGGCCTTTAACTTTTACAGCTGAGGGAGTACAACTTTTATAACCAGAAATAATAAGGAAGCTAATTTCATGTGAGCAGTTCTGTTCTGAAATCCTCATTCTTGTCTGTGTTGGACAGTCTTTGTTTCTCAGTATGAGCAAACCAGTCCCTTGTTGTATTAGTGGGCACCATCTCTATCCTGCGTAACGCAAAATTCCACCTGAGCACACGTAGCATGGTTGTCTTTCAGCTTTAACTCTTCAGTGCTCACATTTCAGTTTGTCTTGACTTCTGCTGGATCGCAGGCAGTTCTGTCTGTATTATGCTCCTGTGCGCTTGTTGTTTTACTGTTTGTATTTTTCCATCTTGAGAAATGATAGTGAAGTAAAAGCAGTAACTTTTTTACTTGAATCCTACCGACACTGAGGAAATGCAATGTAATCAAAGAAGACCATTTACAAATGGTGAAGTGAGCTGTGCAGCGCAGTGCTATTAAAGCAATGATGTGCCTATTAAATAAAGTCTGCTTTTCAAAACCTTCTGAGACTCTGTCATTAGCAATCATCCAGTGGTTCCCTCTAAGAACTGGGAATATTTCTGAGCATTAAAGGAGATTTCAGTCTACTAAAATTTTAAAAATATATGTATGTCATGCATCTCTGTATGCTATGTTTGCATGCAGTCACTAGGTGCTGGAGGCTGGAGGGCCAGGTATGGCCTCATGAAGGGAGATGGAGCTCAGAGAGAGTGGGACAGGGTTTCAAGTGAAGTCACTGGAGTACAGATGTCCACAGCTTGTCAGGCTCTGAGCTTAGATTGACGTCAGTGAGACTTGGGCACTAATGCTTTTGCAGATGGTGGCGTTCAATTTTTTGTATCTTTTTTCCTCATGTGCAAAAAAACCAGATATTAATTATTCGACGATACTTTCCCTGGCCTTCGCTTCGAAATCCATGAATGAGAGAAGCATTAAAAAATCTGTGATTTCAGCCCTAAAACAGGCACCATATGGGTAAGGTGCACGTGGTGTGAGCAACGTCAAACCAATCCTGGAGGAGACAGGCAATGACCAAACACCTTTTCCTCCTCCACCCTGTGTACAAAGGCCAGCAGAGGACATAGGGAAATCCTAGGGCCGGAATTGCATCTCCTGCCATGCCTGTGCAATTGTGCACACAGCCAGAAGCTGCTGCCGCCACTGTGGTACCGTGACATCTCTGTGTGTGATGCTAGTGCCTGCACAAGCAAAGCCAGGAAGCCCTGCCTTCAGCAATAAGCACTGCCAGCTCAGTGACTGCTGGGCAGGCTGAATCCCATTAGAAAACAAATCTGTATATCTCTCATTGTCACAGTTTAATGCAACTGGAAGAATAAAACATTGAGCTTCCAAACATGGCACAAAAGCAAAATCTCAGTGCTCCAGATGGGATTATGCTAAAAATTGGCACAGAGGTGGTTTCTCTCTGACACTCCATTGGGTGTCATTCGTGTCCTCTACCTGCCAATTTTTGTACTGTGATATTCGTCCTATTTTTGATAGTATGGAAGAGACTTCTAAACTCCTCCTTTAGCTAAAAGTTCTGTTGATTAAAGCATGTGAGAGATAACATTATCAGCAGCAAAAGAATTTTGCAAAGTAATTTTTTCCTTCCCATAACACGTTCTAATTTCTAGAATAGAGTGAACAGAACCAGGGGCAGAGAGCTGCAAGGATTAATTACCCATCCATTCTTGCCTAGAAATGTTATGCCATATTTATTACTTTAAATAAAAAATGATGTATCATAAAGTTATTTCCCCCGGCTTCAATTATTTTTAGGGTAACTAGATTAAATAAGTAAGCTGTTTTATTTTACCCCTAAGTGGGTAAAATTCAAGGTTCTTTAAAATATCCTGTGGTGAACTTACAGGGCAATAGGTTTGACGGATTTCTGTTTCCTTTAAGACTCCATTTTTAGCAGGTGGCATTTGTATTATTCAGTAGAATCACTCCATTCATACTGGGAATCAGTAGCTTCAGTGACATTTTCTGTCTAAGCAATTCTGGCAGCGAAGGAGTTTTACCATAAAATGAGTAAATGAGTAAATGAGCCCAAGGTAATGAATGCACCAACACAGGGGCCAAATCAAGGTTCAGCTGGTGAAGGTACAGCATTCATTTGGTGATCACGTGAATGAAGGTTATAGAATGAATTAAAATTCAAAAAAGTTTGTAAGGTTTTAAGTTGCTTTAATGACTGTAATACACGTCTTCTAAGACTTTACATGGATATAGCAGTTCTTCTAAAAACTTCCTGCCAAGATAATTTCCATTTTGTAGTAATCATTTTCAGACAGTGATCTTCAGGAAGGTGCTGATGCAGGCAGAAAACAGTGTTGTCAGCTCTGTGTTGCCTTCATACTTCCTTTCTTCATATATAGACTACCCATTTTCTTACCTACTGGCCACAAAAGGCTTGGTGGTGCTTTCATCAGATCATCCTGTTGTTCAGTTTGCTCACTCCTCAGAGGAGACGATGCTCTTTTATTGAGGTAGTTCCTGCTGTCTGTAGAGGCTATCCCAGACACAAGTGGCCTCAAGGAAGGAGCAGCTGGATTTGGACGATAAGCAGTTTCCTTTCTTGATTTAAATGGCTTGTGGTTGAAAGTAATACTGTAAGGGAGTAATTGTTTGATCACTGCTGGTGTATGAACAGGCCCGTAGGAGCACGCCTCCAGTACTGTTAACGGTGTCAATATTTTTTGTTGTGCTTCTACAAACAGTGTCATGGAATCGCACCAAAATGGCTACACGCACACAATTAATGAACTCAAACAAGCTTTGATCTGCAACTGAAATGAAGCAGACAAAACTTCATTCACCAAGACAACATCCCACTGACATTCAACAAATACAGGTTCGATATGCTGGTTGGGAATATTGCCAGACACAGCTAAGAATTCTTAAGTTTTAGGCCAAATGATCCAAAATGTGCACTCACTCACTCACTAAAAAAGGGAGGGCTCTCAATCTCGAGAAGTTACCTTAAGTAGCGTCCCAACTCAAGGGGAGAGTCCTCAACTGCAGACCCACTGCTCCAAGGAGGACCGACTCAAATGAGTCCTCCGATGGGGCCCCATTTACACCCTGGTTGAATCTGATCTGTGGTCAATACATGGTCGTGTCAGTCCTCATTGGCTGAGGACCCCAACTTTCCCTCCTTTGACCCCCCCTGTGTGGACCAGACATGAGCTGTGAGGGGGGAGGCAGTCCTGGTGTCACCAGGGCCAGAAACTTTAGCACTGCTTTTGTTGGGTCTTTCTCAGGTCTTTAGTAGGGTGGGTGCATCTGCCACAAACAGTTCCAGTAATATTTAGATGAGAAAATAGTACTTAGATAAGAGGTGACATCTGAAGAACATTCATAATTTTGCCAAATCCAAGTCCTTGGTCCTCATCTTCTTCAGCGGGACTGTGCCTCCTGGTGTCATGTGTATTTCTAGACTTTTAAGAAAGAAGCAAGACTGAGGGCATTCTTCAAAAGAAGTAAGGACAAAGTCAGTGAAAGTCTGATATAAACAAAGCAAGCAGAAAATAATCATTATGAAAATTACTTATAAATAAGGATCAGCTCAGTCAAATAAGAAGGCATGCGCATCATTTCCATATCTTGAGCACAAAGTAAATATTATTAGATCAGGCTCTCAGCTTACAGTAAAAATATTACACTAGAAAATGACATTAAAGCAGCTGTAGGTTTAGCACAGTATGCACATGCTTTGCATCTCTAACATATCTTACAAGAGAAAACTGCTTAGCAGTCTCTGAATTATTGTATTATGTCAGGATTTATATCTGAAAAATCTTCCTTACTTCTGGAGACAGAGCACTAGAGGAGGTGGTGCTGTTATGGCAGGAACATTTCAGTGCATTACACAAAACACCCCCTAAACGCTCTTTTCAGAATGAGAAAAAACATCCCAACATCCCCCGAGATGCCAGAAATTCTTGAATACCTACTGTAATTATACAGGATGACCGTTGCTAGTGTTGCTTCAGCCTCCCTGGTCACTGAGGTTTTTCTCTCTTGGTAAATATTAACAAGGTTTCAGAATAACTGAAATACCTGCTCATTCCCCATGTCCCCCTTTCCCAAGTTTTATGGTTAACAACCTGTGTGCTTATCTGCTTGTGCATCAGCCTACCTTCT